AAAGAAAGAGAAAAAGAATGAAAGAAAGAATAGAAAAGCATAAAAAGATATAAGAAACAAGAGAAAAAGAAAAAATAGGCATCAGAAATACCCACCCACCCACCATCACCACACAAGGCTTCCCCGTGGTAGGGCCGCAGGCAGTCAAGGCCGCCAAGGAGCGAATGGAGAGGGAGCGCGAGCGGTCGCAGCGGCGGCGTGACGTGGCCAAGCTCACGGTGACAAGCTATTATGAGGAGCGCATGCGGATTCGGCGGCTCGATGAGCAGGTGGCGCTGCTCAAGGCCGTCGATGAGGCGCTGCGAGATTCTGACTATTGGCGGACCACTGGCTTCTTTAGCAGCGTGCGAGGGGATAACTACTATGACCATTGGCTGTGCCTCGCAATCAAGGAGTGGGCCGCTTCGCATGAGCCAGATGGCTCCCAGCAGTGGGAAAGCGCACTGATGGCGGTGGCGGTCGAGTCCGCTACACGACGCGGCTGTGGGACTGGAGCATCAGCCACCGGGTTTCGGCGCATCGGTGCACTGGCCACGCTGCGGTGGCTGCTGCCCAGCCTGAGCTTCAAGCCCATACCCGGCTCACTTGACCCTGACCCTGTCTTGGGCGTGCAGCAACGCGCTGCAGCAGGCTACTGCGTGTGCGGGTGCGTCCTGGAGCCTTTTGAGCCGCTCTCTCAGGAGGATCTCGCGCTTGGCGGCCCACCCACGGACGAGTGCAACACACCCGCCAGCGGACTGGTGCCCTTTTGCAGAGTGCACGGCCGGCGTAAACGTTACAGGCTGCCGGATAGATTGATCCAGAAGATGCAAGAGTACAATGTGGCACGGCAAAGACGGCAAGACCTGAGCATGTTTGGTGTGTTGCCGCAATTTTAACGAAGGCCTTTTCTTTGTGCAAAATTCCCGTAGAAAAATTCTTTTTACGAGGACGGGCGGATCGCTCCGTCGTCGGATCCGGATTGCGATTGCCCCTCGCTTGGCGGTGCAAAATGAAGAAGGGCGATGGCGCGGGCCGTAGCCAGGGCGAGGACGCGGCAGGAGAGGCAACCTGGCCTCCAAGCGGTGGCAGATCAGCGGGTCAGATCGCAAGAGAGGCGCACGCTTCTGCGGCCGAGGCTGCAGGGAGGCAGCAGATCGGAGAATCCTCGGAGCCGCAGCAGATTGCAGACCCTGAGCCTGGACTCGCCGAGCTTGATGCCTTGATGAACTCGATGACGAGGCAAGAAGAGATGGCGTTTCAGGCATGGCGCGAGCAGCGCGGTCCTGCGATGTACGGCAGCATGCACGTCCCCACGGAGGTTGGCTTGGTGGCTGCCTGGCGCGCAGAGCAGCGGCTGTCGTCCCCTGCGCCATCACTTCCGCAGCAGCAAGCTGACACTGCCTCCCAGCACCAAGCCGCACAAGTCGTTCTCGAAAGCTTGGACATCCTGGTGCGCGGCGACTTTCTTTCGTGGCTCCAAGATTACCGCAATGTGGGTGACCCACTCGACGAGCCTCACTTGGAAGATCTGCTTTGCATTTGGCGCAACTCCGATGAGTATGAAGACACAAAGAACACCCGCATCGCCGAGACATGCCATTGCCCGCGCGACCGCGAAAAAATGCGCTCACTGCCTTATGCAGAGCTCAAGCGACGTGTCGAGGATGGCATGCTGGGTCAGCCAGGTGAGAGCCAAGCTGTCTACGATGCCCGAGTGCGCACCGATCGACTGGCACGCGGTGTAGAGCTCGGCGAGTACTTCACCAACCCCTCCGCCTTTAGCGGCACGCACCTTCCCTACTGCACGTGCACATACGACGGTGAAGTGGCCACGCCCGCAATTCCGGGACTGACGTGTGACGCAGATGGCAGGATCTCAGCTGCAGACCTACTGGGCGATCTGATAAACTATGGATCTCACGCGGGAGAGTGGCAGCCAAGCGGTGGCGACCACGTGCCTGAGGACTGGGTTGGAGATGGCACGTTGGATAGCAATCGCGATGGAGATTATCTTGGCATGCCATACCTCACCAGCTTCTGCACGGCGTGCAAACGAATCCGTTCTGATGAGCCTTTCCTTTCGCATGTGGCCAGAGACCCTGACCTGCGAGTTTGCATGTGCATGAAAGTCTCAACCACAGTGAGCGTGAGGCTGTGCGTGGCTGTCGGAGACTCCGTGCGGCTGCGCGATGCGCTTTGCCAGCACTGTCGAAAGTCGGATCCGGTGGAGGATCAGTGAGTTACCCGCTTACGTGAAGAAACACAACGGCCCCCCCCCAGAGAAAAGGCAACACGCCGCAGGTCCACACTAGTCCGCTCATCTTCACCGTCGCCGCCGCCGGAGTCGCGATGCACAAGCCCTCCGCCTCCCTCGCCGACGCGCTGCTCTGCCCTCCGCCCAAGTTCGGGCAGGTCGAGCCGAGCGTCTTCCGCGCCGCCTTTCCCCGCTCCGAAAGCCTCGCCCACCTCCGGCTGCTCGGCCTGCGGACCACCCTCAACCTATCGCGAGAGCTGCCGGCGCAGGACGTCCTCGCGTGGTTCGAGGCGCAGGGCGTCCGCGTCGCCCACCTCGGCATCGCCGTGTGGACGCACCCGTCGGTGGCGCCAATCTCTGCCGAGTGCGCTTTCGTGTGCCACATCGATCGCTCGCTCCACCTCTCGTGCCGCCGACCGGGCCGGCCCGCCCGCCCTGAGTAGGCTGGTCAACGCCGCGCTCAGCGCCGTGCTCGACCGGGAGCAGCACCCGCTGCTGCTGCTCTCGGCCTCGGGGACGCACGAGGTCGGCACGATCGTCGGCTGCCTGCGCCGGCTCCAGCAGTGGAGCCTCAGTGGAGCCATCGACGAGTACCGCTCCTTTGCCGCTCCCACGCCGCGGCTGTCGTGCGAGCAGTTCATCGAGACG